CTTTGTTCTCTTGTTCATTCTCCTATTTTCCAAGTTATTTTGTTTTCTTGCTGTAAGCTATACCCAACTATTGTTAGGTAAGTTAGCATGTAAATCAAACAAATAATTATACTTCAGCTGCCTGGGAGAATAGTGGCTCCATCCTCCCTCCATACTGCTGCACCCAGCATGGAAAGGGCTAGATCAAGAGCTGACTTTTTTTTCCTTCCTCCCTGTTAAACATTTACACTTTTTAAAAACTTTTCACAGCTTGTTCTTCTTTATTTTCTGTAGCTTTTTCCTCCCCCTCTTTTTTCAAATTCCCTCTAAATTGTGAAGAGCTCACTGGTCAAGTTTGTAGATTACACCAAGTTATGGGGTAGTGTGGTCATGCTTGAAGATAGGCTACAGATACAGGTGGACCTAGACAGGCTATCAAGTTGGGTGGATCAGAATCTGATGAAGTTCAATGTCAAAAAATGTAAAGTGCTCCACCTAGCGACGACACACCTACAGGCAACCCCCAACACACCTACAGGCTTGGTGGCACCAAACTGACTAGCACCATGAATGAAAGGGACCTCGGGTAATAATAGACCACAGTATGAGTATGAGCTGGCAGTGCAATGCTGTAGCCAGTATGGCAAATAATACTCTGGCATGCATCAATCCATGCATCTCCAGCAAAACCAAGGAGGTGATTCTTCCGCTCTACTCAGCGCTGGTGAGACCACAGCTGGAGTACTGCGTCCAGTTCTGGGCACCACACTTTAACATAGACACGGGCAAGCTTGAGAGAGTCCAAAGAAGAGCCACCCGTAAGATCAGAGTCTTACATGGCAAGCCATACAAGGAAAGGCTGAGGGAACTGGGACTCTTCAGCTTGAAGAAAAGAAGGCTGAGAGGGGGCCTGGTAGCAGCTTACCCCTACACCAGGGATGTACATCAAGGGCTCAGTGAGCAACTGTTCATCAGGGCACCCGAGGGGAAAACTAGGAGTAATGGCCAAAAACTCCTGGAAGACCGATTGAGGCTCAACATTAGGAAAAACTTCTTCACAGTCAGGGTGTTCAGACTGTGGAATAAGCTCCCTCCAGAGGTGGTGCAAGCACCTACCCTGGACATCTTCAAGAGGAGACAGTCACCTTGCTGGGGTCACCTGACCCCCAGTTATCTTCCCTGCTTGGTGCAGGGTGCTGGACCCGGTGATCTTCCAAGGTCCCTTCCAGCTTCACAATCTATGAAATAACATTTTTCCTCCAATTTCTTGCCTCTCCCCAGTCTTTCTTTTCTTTACCTGTTTCTACCAAATTCATTCCTTTTTCTCCTTTCTATTTTCCCTGCTCATTTTAAAAACAATGAGAATGAGCATAGTGTGGAGGGAAAGACAAATCTTCAGAGGACTGTCTAGCTTTTCTCAGTTTCTCTTTCTTCTGGTTCCCCTCAGTGCCCAGCCACTGTCATCCCAGATTTTCTTAATCCCACTCTGTCTCCCTAATTTCTCTCGCTGTTGCTCATATCCTGGTAGATAGGCTTCCCAGTGCAGTGTCTTCATAAAGGTTTGTTAACTTAAATGTTTTCTTCTATAGGCATCTCCTCTATTGACGATTTTTGCTGTATTGTGCTGGCTGGAACCCAGAGCTATTATAAAAGCTCCTAAATCTGATTGTTTGTGAACTGTGCTGGCAGAAAAAGCCACTATGGCATGACTGCTCATGAAACTCTGACTGTGCTTGTCCCCACACCAATGTCAGTGTGACTGCATTTATGTCAAATTTAATGAACATTGCTGACTAGATGATATTTTTTGGTGGACAGCCTTCCTTATTTTTGTCTCTGTAAATCAATATACAAACTGCACAATATCCAAATAGAATTAGTGTAAGGTACATAAAGATTGGTCTCAATGAGCAATTAGCACTTCATTAATATGCAAGCAAAATTAATTTCCAGATGTATTTAAAACTCTATCAGAAATTGCATTTTCCTATATCTATAAGTTTGGCTTACTTGGATAAAAATAGATCATGGTAGGAGGATTTTTGAAATTTGAGACTCAGTACTCATAGTAGAGTTTCAGTTTATGTAGATATAAAAAGTACAGTGCTTCCATAAACATTTCTAAATGCATCCGTTACTGTTACATAGACATATACTGCATTCCAATGAAAGCATGCTTACTGTATTTACTGGTAGATTGATTTTTTTGTTTTTCAGATATATTTCCAGGTATATTTTCTTGAGGTAAAATTGTAAGGTAAAGCGCTCCATGAGGCTGGTTAACATGCAAATTAGCATTAGTGGATTGGGTCCCTCAGCTGTCACTCCTAAGAGTTTGTGAAAGACAACTGAATTAAACTATGTTGTTTTAGATTCGTTCCTATAGAACCGCCTTCAGCTTCAACAGGAACAGTGACACCATATGCTATTAATCATCACTGTTATGTTTAGCACTCAATAGACTGAAATTTGCTGTTTTCAGACATTATACACCAGTAGAAAACCTATTATGTATGTTACATTTCACTGTGAGAGGAACACTTAATCCTGTTTTGCTGTCTATAGTTGTTTCAGATATATTTATAAAGAAAGGTCTTCCTATGGGATCCATAAATCACATATTACCTTTTAGCTATGCCATATTTTAAAGTAATGTTAGCATGCTAAAATAAAGGTTTGTTACTTTCTCATAATGCACATAAGCTTTCTTTCCTCTGTTGTGTACAGAATATTCCATGTACCATATTGAAGATGGTTGTTATTAAATATGCTGGCTCAGTTTACTAGTAGCTTTAATACACTTCTGTAACGAAGAACTACTTGTAACATCAAAGCACATGGAGACATTAGCTCTTTCCCCTATAGCCCCTGACCTGAAAGCTTTGCTTTTTATCTTTATATAAAAGGAAAATATGCTTTTCAAAGAAGCCTAGCTAGAGTGTGGATATTTTGTCCATTGTAGAATAATAGGTTGTGAAAGTAATCTACAATTTTTCATCTCTGTTCAGAGTGTTGTTTCTTCTTGGACATTATGGGGTTTTTTGAATAAAAACTCCTGCTTTCAAGTAATAGTGACTGGAAAAATGCTTTCCAAGTCCTGATGTGTCTTTATTTTGATAAGCTTGTTTATCTCAGGTAGGGAGGAGGGAGGGACTGTGCATTTCTGTTGGTGTCCCTTACTCAAAAGAAGTATCTGGGGGAGAAGTGGAATTTTGTTCATCTTTAAATTAACAGGAAAAAAATAAAGTTAGAGAAATAACCCTCTCCTATAATAAGCGGTGTGTACTAATGTAGTTAAATGAAGTGAATGTCTGTAATGGAGCCAACACCTACCAAACAGAAATGCAGAACCTTTGCTTGCATGTTTATATTTAATGTTCTAAAGATTTTTAATAAGAAATACCAAGTTATTTGTCACACACATCATTGCCTCTGAAACTGAAATTTATGGATTGGTCCCAACATTGGTTCTGTATGTGTGCATGTCAGATTTTTTCATAATTTAAGCAAAAGTAGAGGTATAACAGGTCCTTGTGCCATGTTAGCACAGTTAAGGTTCTTGAGTGAGTTATCTTTGAGCATGTCTATATGTCACTGTACAGTGATGTTGCTAAGGTGCTGTGCTTTAGTACTTCCTTCTAAAGCACAGCACATTATGGGTGGTTACTGCACCGTGTGCATGGCACACGGTTAGATTTTGTTCCTATGTTGCCATAGCAGTGCACTGTACCTGGAGTGTGCCATTATGGTGATATAGCTGGCGATCATGTGTAGACCTGCTTGGTTACTACATCACCGTAGCATGCTGTACGGCAGTGTAGCGCGTTGCTGCTTCGCTATAGGGTGACATGTAGATGTGCCCTTCTGGTACCTAAAATTAGGTGCTTGAAGGTGTTCTCTTTCCACTTAGGTTTTTAAGTGTCTATTGCAAAGACAATCACACTTTCCATTAATATCTGTAAAAGACAGAATGAAGCTTAGATCCTTGATTTTACCTATTTATTTCAGGGGCCTGGTTTTAGACTTCCTGGTATATTTCCTGTTGTGTTTTAATAACAGTACGGTCTGGGAAAGTCCTAGAGAGGAGCTTAGACTTCAGCATCTATCCTTCTGTCCATGATTAAATTGATTCAAGTCCACTAAAGTTAATGAGAAGTTTCTTACTGACTGTTGTGATTTGGACCTTGCCTTTAAGTGCATGAGAAGTTCCAGTGGCTTCAGTGCTAAGAGCTAAGCATATGCCTGCATGATTTACTTAAGGCCTTAGTTAGGAATGGTTAATGTGACCTATTAGGAAAGAGTCTGGCTACATAATTAAAAATGCAACAGTGAGCTCCTTAATTTTTAAGGATGTATATCTACAGAGGTTTTCACACAGTGTTTGATCACCTTAGATTTTAGTTATGATCTAATCCTTTTTTCTTTGCAAATGACTGATTTTTGTGAAATTATTAATATCCAAAGACAAAGATATAGAACCTTCCAATAGGAAAGAGAGAGAATATTTTTAGTTTAGAAGTGTTACTAAGTATTCACTATTTAAACATAGTAGGTTTGGAGCTTCCTGTTAGGAGACTCCTACTAAGTGTTTTTTATTCAAAATTGTGTCCTTGAAACTGGCTGTGAAAACTATTTTCTACTTCTCTCAAATAGTTAATTGTATTTAACAGGACACATGTCCTCCTATAAGTATTTACATTTTACATATGTACTATTTATATTCCTGCATATGTTATCATTTATGCATGCCATATCATGTATTTCATGATATACTTATCAGGATCATATAGGGTGCTGAAGGAAAGTAATAATTATTTTTTGGCTATATTAACCTATGATTAAAACTTTAGAAAATGAAAAATGTTTTTCAACACCAAATGTGAAAATATGAGTAAATTATGTATTGAGCTTGTCTAGATAGGTTAAAGAATATGAAATCTTTTGCAAAATGAATATTTTTGTTTGTATCCAACTAATATGCCAACTTATGGTAACTTACATTTTACTCCTGTTTGCTACAGGTGAAATGGGTGAACATCAGACAGCTCATTATAGAGACAACCATGCTGCATTCCCAAAGTAGGATGACAGAACAAGTCATGGTACGTATAGTAATTTCAGTGCTACAATACATCTTCAAGCTGTCTGAGGCAAAATGCTTACTAAGCACTGCATTGGAGCTGTCAGAATGCTTCATGGGGTGGTAATTAAATTGAGGCAGTTCTACTGTTCATTTTGTGGAACTAAGCCAAAATTATATGTAACCTAGCAATATACTGCCATAGACTTTTAGCTGTAGAAAGAACACAACATTATTGCATCTAATGAATTCACTTTCATAGAAAACATTCTACTTCTTGCTGTTGCAATCCCACATCTTGCTAGTTAATGGACTAGTTTTTGCTCATTATACTTAAGGAAACCATAGTGAAACTTAAGAGAAGTCATAGTGAATGATACATTATTTAAGGTTGCAAGCAATTTGGGATTGAGACCTAGAGCTGGATCTTCATTTGTGGCTAAAATAACTGAAGATTGACGGTTGTCATGGGCAAAAGTGGCTTTAAGATCCTGAGGCTGGCTGAGGGCTGTTCTAGCTCTTAGCATAATTTAGAGCAGCCTTGGGACTGCTTTGTATTATGCTGGTTGGCTATTGCCCCAAGGAGAAAGTATAATCCATTTTTAGAGATGTGTCAAAAATGCGAAAAAAGGTATTTTCAGATCATCTGCATATCTGCTGTATAAAATGTTATAAAGTAAAATTTTATTGGAAATACAAGCTGAAGGTTGCTTAATTTGTAGTGAACTGGTCTTTGAATAACTAGTCCAGAAAGAAATGGGAAGCTACTATTCTAATTGCAATTACTATTGCAAGAGAAATCCTTTGAGGACTAGATCAGTATGGCTAAAAAGAAAAGTAAAGTAAGCTTATCACTGGGGATTAACTCTGTACAACTAAGGATGAGTACACTCAATCAAATAATCTGGAAGAATTATCTCAGGTTTGTTCTCCTGGTAGAGAAAGTTACACTGAGCTGTGCATACAGCCATTAAAAAGCTGAGAACCTAAAAAGCGGAGAGGTTGTAGTACTGACACTGCAGCTGGGGGCAGGAGGGAGGAGACCTGCACATATCTCAGCATGCTCTGCAGGCTCCCATAGTCCATCTGGTGACAGATGGCATCAGTGCAAAGGGCAGCTCTAATTGGCTGACTCAGACTGCCTATGTTCAGCCGGTTTTCCTACAGCACAATGTTGGGATTGTGAAGAAGATGTGTTCTTTCCCTTCTGCAGCAGTGGCAGAGTCCAGTGAATACGTATCATTTAAGAAAATATTGCATAATAGGAAAATGCCATGAGTAGCATTTCCTGTGCTGCAAAACTGGCTCCCTTCAGATTTGTAAGGTATGTATGGTTGTGCTTAAATCTTACACATAATGTTCAGTAAAGTGACAGGATAACTAGAAAGGAATAACTAGAAAGTTTCAATAAGAAAAATAAGAATAACTGGTAATTGAGGAGGCCCTCACATTGTCTTTTCAGATAAAGAACCCTGTTTATATATGTCTTTGATAAAGATCATGCTATGTTTTAGTACACTTCTCATCCTATAAAAGATCTAATGCAGGTTAAAGTTCACTGAGGTAAAAAAAAAATCCCTAACTGGTTTTGCCCTTTTAGGATTAATTATATCACTGGTTCTTTGCTACAACTTGAGGTTTATTTTGTGGGGCATGAGGAAGCTGAAGACAGGCACATTAAGGGCAGTTATACCATATATGCATTTGTCATGATTAAAAGTATAGCAACATAAAAATTACAAGGTGAAAAGAAAAGCAATATACCAGTGAGGTAAGTAAAGCATCTACCATTACCCACAGTTGTCTTGAAGAGATCTGGGTTTGGCTGGGTAGTCAGGACAACTGGCAAACCAGAAGTTTTCTGGCTGACTTTTTGAATGGTTCCTTCAGAAACCCATTGAGTCAGGCTCAGAGCCTCTCTCTCAGACCTACACATCCCAGAGTTTCCCTTTAGTTTTGTTGCATCCTAAATCCTATCCTAGAAAATAGGGGTGTTAAGCATATGGACTGTGGGATGGCTCCAGCCTGCTGTTGCTCCATCCAGCCCAGTGGGTAGCGGTAGACCATGTAATTTAGGGATGTGGCTAGTAGTGGGTGGGACTTGTCACTGAATCCAGGATGCTTGGGCCCCACTGAACACAACCTGTGATGGGCAAGTGTCAGCACTGCCAACATAGCCCTACTGCCCAGCCTGCTGCTGTCTCTGCAGCTGTCTCTACCCCAGCTCTGAAGTTGCTGTCACTTTGGTTGCTGCTGCTAGTCATGAAGATCCAGCCCACAGAGAAGTCCCATGGTCCTCATCCAGCCCAGGGTCAAGGGTGATTTTGACATATCTTATATAGGTTACACAGGGGAATATGGAGAAAAGATGAAGAGGTATTTCCCAAGGAAGTCATTGTGCGTGCAAGTGAGTAATCTAGCTTTGCCAGTTTTTGCTCAAATCCTGCATCTCTTCAGGGGAACAAGTGTACTCTGATAATTGGTTGAGGAGACTGCAGGAGTCTAGTACTTGAACAAATTCTCCATATAAACTGATTGAACTCCTATGAATTAAAAAGAGTATAAAGAAGTGTAGTGTACAATAAGAGCAGATCAAGATGGTGCTTATAGCACAGCTGTGACTTATACTTGGGTTCAAGAAAGAATTTATTATCTTAACTATTTTTAAAAATCATTTCACCTTTGAATCTCAATGCAGGCATGAAAAATAAATAAATCTACTGCTTCCTCATCTACCTTCCAAAGACTTGACTTTCAGTTCAATCCATAATTACACAGCCTAGAGAAGATGCTGCGACTGTTCCTTCAACAACTTTCTTTGGCCTTTTTAATTATGAAACAATGTTTTATTGCTGATATACTTTGATTATTTTTCCTTGATAAATGTTTGGACTTGGCTGTAATCTCCTCAAAGTTAATTTGAGTTCAGAAGTCTTTTTTCTAGATTTATCCATTGTTTACCTCTGATTTTCATTGTTTGAAGCAAATTATCTCAGTGTTTATTTGCCTTTTTACTCTAGTAAACCCTGGTAGATACATTTTTACATTCTTTGATTTAACTCATGTTTTCAATTCCCATGGCATGCTTACTTTCTTCTATTTGATCTAGTTTACCCAATTAACTAAAGTTTTTATTTTCAGATGAATCTTTCTGTTTGTTTGCTTTTTAAATAGTGTATTGTAATGTTATTTGCAGTACTGAAATGAATGCCTTAATTGTGCAAAGACTTATTACCTAACTTTTTACACTGTGAAATCAAAGTCCTTTTGAAATCAGAGGGTAAGCACATGGTAGTAAATCTTTTTTGGATCATGACCTTTGGCTGGATCATCCTTGCTATTGAAAAGACCTTGTGTTGAGGGCTAGAACTCAAATGTGAAAATATACTTTGAATTGGAAATGATTGTAAAAATACACTTTTGAATTAGAAACAGGATTTTAAACCACTAACAAATATGGCCTAAGTTTTGGAGAAATTATTTTGTGCCTTAGTATTTTACTGATTTTGGATAGTCTTTTATACTTCTGAAATTTAGCAATTGTTTTATTATTTACAATGATGTTTCATGGTTCTTACTTCTTAACATAAACCAGTGTGTTTGATTTTTTTTCCATTCTTTTACTCACAGAAAAGCAACTATAATAACAGGCAGAAATTAGCTTTCGGCCAAAACTGTGCATGAAATTCATGCATGAAGACTCATTGCACCACTGTCAACACAGAGATTAAAGGCTTCCTAAATATATACTGATGAAGCATATTTTGAAGATTCTAAGGGAACTCTTCTAGTTTATCATATAATCACTGATTCCTGGAAGAACTTGGGAACTATATTTCAACCCATACTCGCAATCTTATATACTAGTGGGTTGCCTCATGGATGCACTGGGGTGCTTCAGCAGATCCACTGTATGAAGGGCCAGATGAACAACACAACTCTAGCACATTTTGTATATTGAAATTGTTCATAATTGGATCTCAGTTATTGTTCTTACCTTTTATTCACTTTCATGGGACTTTTAGGTTCTTCTTCAAGCATAGCTGGGGACACTAGAAGGAAAAAGCTCATGTGAGAAGAACAAGATATTTTTAATCTGTGAACCTTATTTGCTTAAGTGGGAGATATTCTCCAGGTCATTAAATCTGCAGAAGTCAGTCATATTCTATACATGCAATGATCACAACTCTTTAAACTGTCACACACTTCCACCTTGGTTTTCCATCTTGTGATTCAAAGATTAACAGTCTTTGCTTACCTTTCAAAAGGAATCCTCTGTTAAACTCATTTGTTCTGGCAAAAAACCATTTAAGGCTTATTCTCGTAAAGGTACTGAGTTTTTCCTTCATTCCTACCTATGTAAGACTGGACTCTAGATGATCACGGTAAAGACAGTATTATTCAGAGTCATCCAGGAGAGTCAGGCCTGAGGAGTGGTCCTTCTTGTACTGTGTGCTTACATTTCTTTTGCACTGTGATCTTCAACTGTCACTGCAGATTACTATGTACACTGGTCTCAGATTTCTTTCACAGGTCATTAACCTGTCTTCATTTTACCTCAAGCCACATTCAAATTAAGGAAGGCCAGGCTGCCTGCTTTTAGCTAAGCGCTGTAAATGATTATTTTCAGGATCTACTCAATCTGTAAGTTCCACCAGACCTTATATTTCTCTCCTTTTTGTAGTCTGGAAATATTACCAGAGCTCTGTCCATCTTGGCTCAAGGGCAGTCTAAGCGATACTTAGGACCTTGCTGGTGTTTCCTACATGGGGATGGTACAGCACATGGATCCAAGGAAAACTCTACCTCTATCAATTATTTTTTAAAGATTATTACTTGGAACTCAAGCAGAAGGTTCACATAATGTTATTTAACATCTGTATCTGATACCATGGGTAAGAGAAGTACAACTCCCTGTTGTAACTGAAAAGGTTTTGCAGGAAGTTGCAAAACCTGAGTTGCAATGATCCGTGGAACAAACCGAAGTTCACTGTTGGTTGCAGGGGAAAGGGCAATCTAGCT